CGTAATATGCCGCGGTGGTGGGCGTGGCGAGCGAGCCGCGTCTGCCGGGCGAGTTGTCCTGGCCCTTAAAGTGGAAAGGTAAAGGGACGGAAAAATTGACTTTACCCCGTGGAGACTTGTCTTCCCTTGAACTCATGTGAGGTTCGTTGCTCCGTCAACAATTTTTTTGTTTTTATTGAGAACGCTCACAATTGTCTCGCGCCGCGCACCACGATTGCGACCAGTTACGATTGTCTTGTCCGTCTCCCACATGAGTAGTGAAACGGTACAGCTCGCACAAAAGTGAAGAAATCTAGGTTAAACGGTCCAGAAGTGCCTATAGCGCGACGATTAATCACGTCACCACTGCATGATCAGATCCAGCGATTCCCCACAATGGATCATAAATCTTACATCCTTGAACTATTTGAAATTACCATAGCCACTATTTCCAGAACAACCACATATGTCCTGTCTTACACTGCCGAGAAATATACGCATCCATGACGGTGCTAAGGAAACATCTAGTTGTGAGTTGGTAATCGCTTCTAACTCACTTCTTCAGGAGACTTGAAAGCAATCATTCCAGATCGATCACAAAATGCCCATTGAAATGCATTTCCGAACGTTTGCTAATATCGGCGAGTTTGAAGTAAGTTAAAGGGCGTTCGCTGATAGAAACGTTTGCATTGATGCACATGCTTTCAGCGTTTTCGTCACTTGGTAGAGATCCTGTGCAATTGTCGCTTCATGATGCACACGAAGCAACCCCACAATAAGCGACAGATTATGCATTGCTCAAAAAGTGAACACAAAATTATCCTACAGTCGAGAAGGTTTGCATTATTCCATTTGACGCACGGCTAATTTCATTGATAGTGAGAACAAAACTTGGTGCTGCCGAAGTAGGAGGAGGAGGCTTGTGTGGGAGCGACTAGGGTGTACATGTTACGTTCAAACCGCTGCATCACACCCACTAGCGGAGCGTTTCCCAGATAGCAGACGTAAAAGAATCAGACATAGAGAGAGAGGGAGTCGATGCGCCGCAAAGTTGCCACGTTGGAGTGCTGCGAACATTCCCCATCCCCCAAAAACCCAATTGCAACGCTCTTTCGCCCGCTTGCCTCGACTCGGAAGCAACTATACACTCGCGCGGCTAGGCCCGCTGGACCTTCACATTGAGAGTGTGATACTCTGTTCTGAGGCTGCCGTTAGGCTACTTTCATACTTTGCGGCAGCGTCCACCAGAGACCATTAGCGTTTCGAGCGTCCATCAGCATCAGCGACTAGGAAGTATAGGTACCGACCTAGCGAACAGCAGCGTCCACCAGTGACCATCAGCGTCTCGAGGGAGTAGGGAAGTATGGACATCGACCTAGAGTCCACAAGCGACTAGGAGTAGAGAGTATGGGGAGTATGAAGGTCGCAGATGGGTGATAGGATATGTGAAAGTAGGAGGGAGCAGACAGCTGGATTAGGCGTCGTGAAATGTAGTGCAATGTCCAGCCGCAAATTAACTACTACGCCAAGTGTATTCGAACTCTCCGATGGTCGCTTTGTGGATGCTGGTGTCGCATAGTGACTCTGGTAAGACGTAGACGATATTAATTCTTGCATAGGTTCGCATCCTGATAGTCGCGGGCGGACGCTGATGACGCTAAGTATCGATATATAAATACAATTTCTGCCCTCGAGACGTTGATCGCTGGCGGAGCGTAGTTGACCGCTGCTGTTCGCTAGGTCGATATTTATACCTTCCTAGTAGCTGACGTTGGCGGACGCTCGAAACGCTGATGGTCGCTGGTGGACGCGGTCTCAAGGTATGGACGCGGCCTTAGAACGCATTAACGCAACGCGTTCAGAGTGGAGACGGCGAAGTCTCATCTTATGCCACCTTCTCCTCAACCCATTAGCACCGGAGTATCAGTGCATGGTATTTTAAAGAGAAATCTCAAGCAGATTTCAGAAAAGGAACATGTCTTGTGAACCATTTCCGTTCATTTCGGACAGGAAATTGGGTAGATCCTTTTTTCGAAACTTTGTAAAATTGTTTACTTTCAGGCATAAGTTACCCCATGTTCGGATGATGAAGGAGGGAGCACAATGTCCTGCTCACATCTCTTTCAGGATCGACCCAAAGACAGGGTACGTCAGTTTTTTTTCAGTTATTTACTTCGAAACAATTTTCAGAAAATGTCTCCAGATCATTTTCTGGAGTAATATCAAAGTTATGCGGTCGACTCTCCATTAATCTGGCAACAGTAATATTAAAAAGTGGATGCGGATCGGCTTGTTAGGGGCACTTTGCTCATTACCATCAATCACTGCTGATGCCTTTTGTGGACCCTCTAATTCTTGTGGAGCTGTGCAATAGCAGGAACTTCGTTCACACCTGATAAGAGTCTACAATCCTTCCAAGATACCACAAGAATGCTGAGTTATGAGCAAAAGTCGAACCCCAGGCGGGAGTCGAACCCGCACCTCACGCTTTCCGGGCGATTGCGCTATTCGTTACGCCCAGCGTAACTTTTGCCGATAACTCAGTATTGTTGTGGTACTTTCGAAACGCGATCTGTGGCGTAAAACAGCAATTATCATAATATAAAACCTGCCAAGATAGGTTTTACGATCTGGAAGAAAGTGGCAAAAGTGCAAAGTGCCCCTCACAACTCGTACACCGCCCAACTTTGCCCTGTTTTCTGAATTTTTCACATTCGTAGTATTTCAGTCATGTGGATGCGTTCTATCAACTGTTCCATTATGGCCACGCCCGTGAATACCGTGATTCTAATGAGGATGGGTCTGAGTTTGACTGTGATTCGATGGTTCGTTTTCTTGTTTATTACAACATCTCATGAGACTGTAATTCATTTTGCAAAACTCTCATACCCTTTGTTTAGTTTGCCATCCCCCATCCTACCTAACACCATGTTTCCAAAGTCTTTCAACTCCCTAGCACTTTTCTGAACGGGAGGGAGAGGGCAGCTGAAACGGGAAAAGCCAGGAAACGTCAACAATAGGTGCAATTTTAGAAAGGCGAATACGACTCCGCCGCTATCCCTACAGCGACCAAATACGACCCTCGCTGGGGAACCCCAACGTACGACGCACTTTTGCGAGAATGCTAATTTGTATTCGTTACTCAGAAGTAAGCTTATGATTCCATATGCATTGGGG